TGTTCTTCAAGACAGTTTTATTGCTTTATGGTGGAAATCTTTAAAATAGGATATTAATTGCTGGGGATTTTTACCCAATAACTTTGCTTAGGATACAGGAAACATGTTTTTTAAACAAAGGAAGAGAGGCCCACTGAATGTCCGAAACCTCAGCTTGCCCCTAATATTGAAAAGTTTCTTATTGGAAGAGAAAATTGCTGTTGCTGTTGTTATTGTTATTATTTTCTGCCCATCTCATTTCAAAGCAACTCTGGGTGGCTTAGAACATGAAAACATTAAAATCATCAAATATAAATGTACACCCAATAAACCAATAAAGGAGAATATTTGTGGCTTGGATCTGAGATGAGGGGTCCTTGCAGTCATTTTATTACCCAAACTAGGGAACATCTAGCAATGATATTATCTAGTTTGGGAAATGAAACGTCTGCAAGAAAACAACCAAGCTCAGAGAGCACCAAGGACCTCTCACACCCAATAAAATCACAATTTAAACTGAATAAAATCATTGACATAAGATGGAGAAAGAGCAGGATTCCAGATACTATTCTATCCAATCCCATTTGAAGAGTTTTAACATTCTGAAAAATTCCCCACCTCAAATAATGTCATCCCTATAGGGGATGCAGTTGAGGTCATTGGTATATGGTCTCTTATATTGCCCCCTAGTATGGAGAAATCTGGATTATTCACATAGCTTCAATCCAAACAAAGGGGGCCATGGAACCTGAAAAAGCTGCTTGTACTTTTTTTTGGGGGGGGGTCTCAGATAAATGACAGAATTGCTACCTCTGTTATCCTTCAAAAGTGCATGTTTTAGATGTCCGCTCTTATGAACTATTTAAATGGGTGATGGATAGTTTGTTGCTTGTTTTGTTTTTACCCATAATGTTTTTGTTTCTCTTGCATCTCTGTAATGTTTTAATGTGCTACGTTGTTTTTTCCCCATAACTACAATAAAAGTAGATGATCATATCTCATCAAACTTGTCTATTCTAATATGAAATATCATGCAGAATTTTTAAAAATTTTAGAATAAACATTGTGCAATGTATATGGAGATTCTCAATCATTCAGGTCATGGTTGTCCCAAAGGTGCGTTTTCCAAAGCGAAACTTGGTGGGTTTTTTTCTTTGATAACATTTTGTTTCTCATCCAGGAAGCTTGTTCAATTCTAACTGAATTATAAAATCATTGTGTAATAGCGCTCACTACCTAGTATGCTTACCTCCAAGGCTGTGACAGATTTACATTAACTAGGTTATTAGGAGGAAAGCTAAAATCTTCTTAACCATTGTTATGAAAAGACAATAATTCTTTTCTAGTCTCTAACCTAATGTCTAACCTTTATTTATAGAAGCAACAAAACTATAACAAGTGAAACATAATCATAAGATGGAAAGTGTGAGAGAGCTGCAACAGAACGTTTACTTTCATTTTTCCTCACCTTATGACCTGGCTGTTCCAACATAATGACCACACTAGCATCCAGAGCTTGGATTGTACCCAGTTTTGTGTGGTGATGGTGGTCACAAACATAGCTAACTTCCCATATACTCAAATTTCTGACCTTGGGAGATTTGAATTCAGAATATCAGTTGTGATTACAGCACTTTTTTTTTTACAGAACTCTTGAATTATGAATTGGAGCAATGTTTCCCACTCATTTGCAAATGTTGGCTTTTAGAATTATTAGCACGAGGGTTGCCTGTTTTCAAAGGAGCTGATTACTTTGATCTTGGAGCAGTAAGTCATCAGCCACTACCTTCCGATAGGAAGGAGACATACCCATAGCAGTGATTCATACAAGAAGCAGCAGGTATCATTCTCTCAAGAGTTTGTAATTGCACTACATCTTCCATTACTTATTACAGTACAAATGCTTACAGTTGTGCTAATGACTAAGAAGTAGCAGAATTACTTGCCATATTATCAGTCCCTGTTGGGTAAGAAGTAATTTTCCTGCAAGGTCAATGCTGTGATTTATTTTTTCCCCTCAGGTGGATAGTATTTTGTAGAACTTGATAAGTGGAGTTGAGATAACACTCATAAGGATCTCACAATTGAAAGCCAACACTTGAAATCTTGAAAAGCAGAGGGGAATGATATTCAAAGAACAAATGTGATCAAATGCAATCAACAAAATGTTGCTACATTTGGCAATAAAGATAATGCATAAAAACCCTAAAAAAAAATCTTGCTATTTAAGGAATTAAGAGAGAGATATAGAGAATTACTTTGTATATAGGTAAGTTGAGTTCCTGCGTTCTTTAAATAATTTATATAAAGATAAGCCAGTATTTCGGCCAATCAATTCTAACTCTGCATTTGTGGCTAATAGGTATTCAGTACAGATACCTCTCACTTCTGCTTCTTGTTCTCAGTGTTATGCTGAAAGGAGAGGTTTTGGTAGAACAGTAGCTAGAAATCCTTAGCTGGACAGAATACAGGTAGTCCTTCACTTACAACCATTCATTTAGTGATCATTTGAAGTTATAATGGCACTGAAAAAAGTAACTTATGACAGTTTCTCACACTTCGTTCTCTGAGTATCCACATGGTTTCCTGATCAAAATTTGGATGCTTGGAAACTGGTTCATATTTATGACAGTTGCAATGTCCTGGGGTCATGTGATGACCTTTTGTGACCTCTGATAAAATCAATAGGGAAGCCAAAGTCACTTAACTGTGTTACTAACTTAATAACTGCATTGATTCACTTAACTGTGGCAAGTAATGTTGTTGTAAAATGTGGCAAAACTCACGTAACAACTGTCTTACTTAGCATCAGAAATTTTGGACTCAATTGTAATAATAAATCATGGACTACCTTATTCTCCATGGTGTTTGAAAACAGGAAATTAAGTCGTAAATGAAGGATTACCTGTAATATGTCAAGAAGCAATTTAATCAGAATTATTTTTTTTATTATAGAAACTTTCTGGAATAGTTGTAATTTATTACTACATTCCAAAGATTGTAGTCACTATTAAACTGAAATTAGAATAGAGTAATATAGTAGTATACATAGAATATAGAAATATAGTATGTGTGTGTGTGTGTGTTATTTCTGGTACTGATTTCTGTAGCTAAGAATCAAAACATGACAATTACTACTTCATGTGCTTCCTTTTTGCTTCATCCCCTCCCTTCCTCCAGGCTCATTTTGAAATAAAGGTATTTGCATGTAAAAATCCTATGAGGCATAAAAATGCCACATAGGCATTTTCTATTGGTGAGGTATAGGGATGATCAAATACCTTGGAGATATTAACTTAGGAACAGAGGTATTACAGCCTATTTTCTCTTATCCTTCTTCGTTTCAACCTTAATGTAAAACTCCCAAGTGATTTTGCTCATGAGAGCTATTCCTTGAAGAGTTTCAAGGTTAACATCTAACTTGTAGCATCCAAATCAAAACCAGTGATAACACAAATCCATCTATCTTAGAGAGGATTATGTCTGTTGAGCATATTATGCAAATTATGCAACCATTTATATTAGCATTATTTATATTTATATCGGAAAACCCAAAGTGAAGAATCTTTTGATAAACATGCTGAGATTGTTTTGCTTCCTACAAAAAAAGTTTCTAAATGATGCAGAAATTTGTGGAAATACATTAAGACTAGATGCTTCCAAGAACATAAACTCATATGACTGGAAGGAATCTTAGAGGTCTTCCGGTCCAAAATTCTGCCCAGGACAGGAATCCTCAGACCAATCCAAACAAATGACTGTCCAGCCTTTATTTGAAACCTCCAGTAATGGAGTTCCATGTTTCCAGAAAGAGGATGGCTGTTCCATTGCGTAGGAGCTCACAAAGTCAGGATTTCCTCCTTACTTCAAGTTTAGAGCTCTTTCTAAAGCTTCCACTATTAGTTCTTGTCCTGCTTTCAGGCACCATGGAGAATAAATCTACAGGTAGTCCCTTGGTTAATGATGACTTTATCAGAGACTGAAGTTACAGGTGGTGAGTGAGTAATGTTTATGACCAATCCTCAATCCTCTCACCATCCCAGAACTTTTGGTGATCATGATTTGGGTGCTTGGTTCACACTAATGACAGTTGCATCATCCTGAGGTCACATGATCATCGTTTGCAACTTTTCCTGCTTGTTTCCCATAAGAAAAATTAATGGGGGAGCCGGCAGAGAAGGTAACAAGTAGCTCTTGTTAAGTCGTTCCCATTCCTGCTGTTTTTTCTCACGAGGAGCTAGACTGCCAAGTACAAGATCCTGAAGAGTCATTTCCTGTTCAGCACCAAATGTCAGCTGCTTCTTGTCTTCTTCCTATCTACACTTTTTTCTTACTACAGCTGTTGGAAAATTAGAAGCAGGTTTGGGCCCTAGTTTTCTAAACCTCTTAAGTAATTTGCTCATAGTCTAGCCAGACATACATTAGGAAGTTTTAATAATCTTTTTGATGAACACATTTATTTAGTTCTCTTTTTGAAGGCTTCCTACAAAAATGTTTTGTTCTGGGATATGATATTGAATTAAAGACTTGCAAATCCACAAATTATGCAGAGAAAGAATACAGTTAATTCCTCTTCAGTACTAAGGAAGAGACTATATAGCAAGTTTCATGAGATCGTTTAATTAAATACAGCATATGTTTCCTGACATGCAATACACAGTATTAAGAGTACACTTGAATTCAATGAAATACAAAATTATAACAGTGGTAGTGTTGAATTTGCCAGCAATATTTGGGCTCTCAAATGGTAAAGAAGAATAGGAATATTTTTAGTAGATGGCTGAACTAGAGCAAGGTCACTGTGCTTATTTGGAGAGAGAAGGCATTCCAATAAATGGGTGCCACAACTAAAAAAATGCTTTTCATGGATGATCTTCCTGAGATAATTAGCCAAAAATGCACTGTCACATTCTCTGTGAGACTTGGGCTCATTTCTCACTCTACATTACACTAACTCTTGCTTTTATGTTGGAGGAGGACGAAAATAATGTTTTGTTCTTTCTTTTTACAGACATTGAAACATGCCATTAATAAAAAGGAACATTGAACCTCGGCACCTCTGCCAAGGAGCTTTACCTGAAGGAATTACTAGTGAATTGGAATGTGTAACCAATAGTACTCTCGCTGCCATCATACGTCAGCTAAGCAGCTTAAGTAAGTTCCCTGAGTTGTTTTTTTAATGCTTTTTTTTTCTTCCTATTTTTATATGGCAAAATGAGGAACATGAGGCATCTTTCAAGTTTATCTTAAGTTTTGGGAGAGAAGCACAAGTGCTGTGAAAGGAACACAATGAAGTAGGATGGATTCTAATCTTTTTAAACTTCGTATGTTGGGGTACCTTACCCTATAATTCCATATTTTAAATGCCTAGTTTTTATAGATGAAGTTAAGAACAGCAGGAAAAATATAAGGATGTTTGGTTGGGTATATCTATTTTTGCTTCATAACTGTTGCTTCTTCATATCATTCTGGGGACTTGTAGCTGTCCTGGCCATTCAGAGAGGTTATAAATTGCAATGTTATTTTGGAAGCTCAGCTCTATTTTTAAGTAGTAGTCATCAGTCAAGTTGAAAGATACTGGATGATTCTATATAGAATTGCTTACAAAAAGCCCTCAGGATTACAGTAAAAACAGTAACTTGAAGAATTTTTATAATATTCTAAATTAGCATTATAAAATATTTGTAAATAAATAATAAAAATATTTATTTCTAAGCTGGGGAACATGATCCTATTTTTTCTCTCTAGGCAAACATGCTGAAGACATATTTGGTGAGTTGTTTAATGAAGCCAACAACTTTTACATCAGGGCAAATTCTCTTCAAGACAGAATTGACCGTCTGTCTGTCAAGGTTACTCAACTGGATTCAGCTGTGGAAGAAGGTAGGCAGTTTCATGCAAGTATTATGCCAAAAGTGCTATTGACAAAAAGACGTAGTTAACTGTACAGCAATTATTTCTTTTTATGGTGTAACTGATCGCTTAAGATAGTATCTGCTTCAGAAAAAGACCCATGTTTGTATGTGGGATAGGAGCAGCAAATTAATCAATTTTTAATAAAATCTCTTAATATTTTTTGACAAATAAATTCTCTCCCTGCCTCTTTTTGCAATGTGCTTGTTATATTGCTTGAAAAGGATCTTTCCAAGTTGGCTTACCAGCCCTTATCTAAAAATATTCTAGAATATGTCTTAATGTTCTTTTAACAAGATTTTAGCATTTAGGCCATTTTGTACAATCCATATTCAGTATTTTGCTAGAATGTTTTTACTTTAATGGGAAGAACACTATTCATTGAATGTTAATGAAGTATTGCTATTAAAAAAAGTAACAATAACATTAAAGAAATAAGCTATCCTATTATGACAATTATGACTGTTCTATGAAATGCATTATATACCTATCAAAATCAATGAGACTAACAAAATTATTATATTGTCTTTTTATTTTGTTTTTACAAGAATTGTCAAAGAGAAAGGAAAAGAAATAATACTGATAGGAATATATATATATGAAAGAATATGGAATGTAAACAATAAAAGCAATACATAAAAGCTGATAAGACACAGATCTGAATAATTCCCTATTTTAATTAGAACAGATTGTTTTTGTTCACAATTTTGACTCGTGTGCAGTACACAATTCATGTTGTACATACAAAATGAGATGCATCAGTTGTAGTCATTCCTTTTAATTGCTTTTGTTCAGTCATTTCATTTGCATATTGTAAATAGCTACTCTCAGTCTCTGTGTGTCTATCTCTCCTTTTTGCTAACAGTTTCATTGCAAGATATTAATATGAAGAAAGCATTCAAAAGTTCTACAATACAGGATCAACAGGTTGTTTCAAAGAACAGCATTCCCAATCCTGTTGCTGATATTTATAATCAGAGTGACAAACCACCTCCACTGAATATTCTCACATCATACAGGTATTGTAATTTGAAATGGATAAATCTGACATAGCTGGGTATGAAGTTTTCCTTCCTATTCTCATGTATTGTATTTTTGTAAGAGAAAAAAAATGTTCTACATGTATCCAGTTAACAAATGCACGTAGGAAGCATACTACAGTAGTAATGGGAGACTTTAACTATCCAAATATCAACTGGGAGACAAACTCTGCAGTGAGCAGGAGATCAAACAGATTCCTAACCAAGCTAGCCGACAACTTTCTCACCCAAAAGGTGGAGGAGAGAACTAGACATAAAGCTGTACTGGACTTAATCCTTACAAATAGAGAAGAAGTGGGACCCGACAGGTTACATCCCAGAGTTCTGAAAGAGCTGGCAGATGTTATCTCAGAACTGTTGCACCACATCTTTCATAAATCCTGGAGCACCGGGGAAGTACCTGAAGATTGGAAAAGGGCTGATGTGGTCCCCATTTTCAAGAAAGGAAAAAAAATGGACCCAGGAAACTACAGACCAATCAGTTTAACATCAATACCTGGGAAGATCCTATAAAAATCATCAAAAAACAGATTTCCGAATAACTAGAAGCAAACAAGGTCATAACTAGTAGCCAGTATGGGTTTGTTAAAAACAGATCATGCCAAACCAATCTTATCTCATTCTTCAATAAAGTGATTAAACTATAGACCAGCGAAACACAGTGGATGTAGTATACTTAGATTTCAATAAGGCATTTGACAAAGTAGACCAAAACCTACTCCTTGGTAAGCTAGAAAAAGGTGGCATAGACAACATCACCACTAGATGGATCTGTAGCTGGCTGACAAACTACTCAATGAGTAGTCCTCAATGGCCCTACATCCACATGGAGAGAAGTAAGCAGTGGGGTACCACAAGGTTCCATCTTAGGCCCAGTACTCTTCAATATCTTCATAAATGACTTAGATGAGGGAATTAAAGGGGAACTCATCAAATTTGCAGATGACACCAAACTGACAGGAGTAGCCAACACCCCAGAAGACAAACTCAGGATACAAAAAGATCTTGACAAACTTGAACAATGGGCCCTATCCAACAAAATGAGTTTCAATGTGGAGAAAAGCAAAGTCTTACATTTAGGCAGGAAAAACCAAAGGTACAAATACAGATTGGGCGAGACCTGGCTTAAAAACATAACTATGAGAGGGACCTTGGAGTCCTAGTGGACGATCACTTGACTATGAGCCAGCAGTGTGCAGTAGCAACCAAAAAAGCTAACACAATCCTGGGTTGTATAAACAGAGGCATAGAATCAAGATCATGTGTAGTATTATTACCGCTTTATAAAACCCCAGTACAGTGATGGCGAACCTTTTAGAGACCAAGTGCCCAAACTGCAACCCAAAATCCACTTATGCATCGTCGGGTGCTGGGTGGGTGTGGCCCATTGGGTGGGCGTGGCTGTGGTGGTAACAGCAGACTGGGGACTAAAAGTTTAATCAATCAGTTCCAACTTTGCAAGATCCTTTTTTTTCCCCGCGAGAAGTTGAAATTGATTGATTGAACCTTTTTTTTTTTGTACATGGCAGCGGAGGCCTAAAGCAAAAAGTTTTTATAAAACCCAGGTGAAGGCCTAGGACTGGGGCAACGGCGCGTGTGCCCACAGAGAGGGCTCTGAGTGCTGCCTCTGGCACCCGTGCCATAGGTTTGCCACCACTGCCCTAATAACACCACACCTGGAATATTGCAGTCAATTTTGGTCACCAAAAAAAGATGTTGAGAGTTTGGAAAAAATTCAGAGAAGAGCAACTAAGATGATCAAAGGCCTGGAGACTAAAACATATGAAGAACGGGTACGGGACTTGGATTTGGCTAGTCTAAAGAAAAGAAGAAATAGGGGAGACATGATAGCAGTGTTCCAGTATCTGAGGGTCTCCCACAAGACAGAGGGGGCCAGGTTGTTCACCAAAGCATCAGAGGGAAGGACGAGAAACTTCATAACAGTGAGGACAATCAACCAGTGGAACAGCTTACCCCCAGAAATCGTGGGCGCTCCATCACTGGAGATTTTTAAGAAGAGACTAGACATTCACCTGTCTAAGACGATATAGGTTCTCCTGCTTGAGCAGGGGCCTGGACTAGAAGACTTCCAAAGTCCCTTCCATATCCTATCCTATCCTATCCGTACTATACAGACAAATCTTATTGCATTCTTTGACCAGGTGATACAATTAGTGGACCAGAGGAATGCTGTGGATATAATTTACTTGGTTTTCAGTAAGGCATTTGAAAACGTAGACCACAACCTACTGCTTAATAACATAGAAAATGTGGGTTAGACAGCATCACCACCAGATGGATTTGTAACTAGCCGACCGGCCGTACTCAGCGTGTGGTCCTCAATGGAACTGCATCTACATGGAGGGAAGTGTGTAGTAGGGTGCCCCAGGGCTCTGTTTTGGGCCCAGTGCTCTTCAACATCTTCATCAATGATTTGGATGAGGGGATAAATGGGGAACTCATCAAGTTTGCAGACGAAACCAAGCTGGCAGAAATAGCCAGCTTAAGATACAGAGGGATCTTGACAGACGTGAACATTGGGCACTATCTAACAAAATGAAATTCAATGGTGAAAAAAGTAAGGTTCTACATTTAGGCAAGAAAAATCAAATGCACTTGTACAGTATAGGTGGTACCTTGCTCAATAGTAGTAACTGAGAGGGATCTCGGAGTCCTGGTGGACAATTACTTAAATATGATGCAGCAGTGTGCTGCAGCTGCCAAAAAAGCCAACACAGTGCTAGGCTGCATTAACAGAGGGATAGAATCAAGATCACGTGAAGTGTTAATACCACTTTACAATGCCTTGGTAAGACCACACTTGGGATATTGCATCCAGTTTTGGTCACCACGATGTAAAAAAGATGTTGAGATTCTAGAAAGAGTACAGAGAAGAGCAACAAAGATGATTAGAGGACTGGAGGCTAAAACATAAAGAATGGTTGCTGGAATTGGGTATGTCTAATTTAATGAGTGACATGATAGCAATGTTCCAATATCTCAGGAGCTGCCACGAAGAGGGAATCAAGCTATTCTCCAAAACACTGAAGGCAGGACAAGAAGCAATGGATGGAAACTAATCAAGGAGAGAAGCAACCTAGAACTAAGGAAAAATTTCCTGACAGTTAGAACAATTAATCAGTGGAACAACCTGCCTTCAGAAGCAGTGAATGCTCCAACACTGGAAGTTTTAAAGAAGAGACTGGACAACCATTTGTCTGAAATGGTATAGGGCAGGGGTCTTCAAACTTGGCCCTTTTATGATTGTGGACTTCAACTCCCACACTTCAACTTCTGGGAGTTGAAGTCCACAAGTCATAAAAGGGCCAAGTTTGAAGATCCCTGGAATAGCGTTTCCTGCCTGAGCAGGGGTTTGGACTAGAAGACCTCCAAGGTCCCTTCCAACTCTATTATTATTGTTGTTGTTGTTGTTTTGTTGTTGGTTTTTTATTATTATTATTATTATTATTATTATTATTATTATTATTATTATTATTATTATTATTATTATTATTATTATATCCATGTGGGGTATTTTTGGCAAAATATAGGATGGATTACCATTGCTTTCTGCACTATGAAGGTATGCCTTTCCCATTGTCACTGAAGTGATTATCATCTACCTACATCATCTTCTACATAACTGCTACCCAATATAGGTGCCTATTTGCTTTAGCTGGGCAACTTAGATGACTTTGGGTGTTTCTGCTGAAGTTAGATACTTTTCACATACATTCCCAGCATTCTTCACTCATTCCTTCCAGTAAGGCCCATCCACACTACAATCTGATGGAGGCATACATGGGGACCTCCCATAATTTTATCCCCATAGTAACAACTCTGGGAATAGGTTGGGCCCAAAGGTCTCCTGTGAGCTCATTAGGCAAATATGAAGTATGCCCAGTAACTTCTAGGATATGCCTGGCAGAGCTCTCCAAAGGTATTCAAGGATCTTTTCCATTGGAAATTAACTTTTTTTTAATGGAGAGGTAATAGTGACCCGTTCCCCTTTCAGAATAAATATTTATATGCTGCTTTACGTGAAATCTGCATTGGCAAACTGAGTCGAGCATGAGGAGTGGCCATTTAAAATAGTGTTTTGTTCCATTTTTTTTACAGAGATGATAAAAAAGATGGCTTAAAATTTTATACTGATCCTTCTTATTTCTTTGACCTCTGGAAAGAAAAAATGTTACAAGATACAGAGCATAAGAGAAAAGAGAAGAGACGACAGAAGGTAAATCAAAACAGTCAATCATATTTTAGGATAAATACCTTATATTGTATTTTAACAATGTTCCTGACATAGGAATGATTGTAAAAAACAAAGCTGTTCTGCATTTCAAACTATTCCTTTACCTTTCATTTTAAATGTGTGCTTTCTTATTTGCATTTTGAAAAGAAAAATATTTGTTAATGGAGCACTTAGAGAAACTCTCAGTTAGTTTTACAATATGACTACATTTTGGAGGATATTTTGGATTATTACAAAAATTTCATAAAATCCTTCAGAGTTTCTATCTAATGCAAATTGAAGAACTTTTCCATTATTTTAAGCTTCAACTTTGAAGGATTGGCATAGTTCTGTTATAAATAATGGATGCATAAATAATGGATTAGATTCAGGAATGAAGTTTGCTGCTTTGAAATGTGAATGCATATAAATGAGATCATGAAAGAATGTTGCCTGAATTCTCCATTTTCGGATCATAAGAGTTGTAATAAAATTCAGGAATTTGATAGCATTCGTTTTGAAATAAGTGTGTATATGTGCTATGTGAGCAATCTCTGGAGCTCCGAAACTAATTAAGTGACTGAAACTCTCAGACAATGCATAAAAAGCAACAGAATTAAATGAGTAGTTCTTGTTTTGTTTTGTTTTGTTTAACTGTGCCACAAAAGACAGGTTAGTGGATCTAGAGGCTCTGTGGAAACAGGAATATCACATTGCAGTGATTGGGTGACCTGCTATATTGTTTTTCTTCTACGAGGAACTTACATTTTGTCAGTGTGGTGACACAAACAATAAGCACATAGTAAAGGAGATGTAATAACTGTGGGAAACAGGGATTTGATAGGACTTTATGGAGAAATGTGGGTTGAAAAACAAATCTAACAGATGGTGCTATCAGTGTTTTTTACGGTATTCATTTTGTGAACTGTGAACTGCTTCGCTGAGAATTTTCTCCTCTTAACTATATTTATGGAAAGTCCTTGATTTGCAACTGGTCGCTTAATACCCATTGAAAATTACAACGGGCCCAAAATGGGTGCCCATAAGGCACTTTTGACCATCGTGAAATATGTCACACCCATCCCTGTGGTCATGTGACAGCATTTTAAGTGCTTGGCAACTGACTCACCTATATGACTAGTTGTAGAATTCTGCGGTCACACGACTGCAATTTGCAATGTTTGTTGCCAGTTTACAGCAAAAAAAAATGCCCATTAGTAAAATGGTTTTGCATTTACATCTGTGAATTTGCTAAACTGTGGTGATTCACTGAAAACCCATCGCAGAAAATGTTGTAAAATGGGGTCTGGTCACATAGGTCCCTCGAGTTACAATCGTAACAATTTAGGATGAAAAATCCAGTCCCAATTGTGATTGTTAAGTCAAGGACCCTCTTTATTAAGAACCAATGAATTTATCTCAGAGTCGGTTGTTTTATCATGGTGATCCATATGATTAAAAACCTGTCATCACCCCCTCAGGCAGCACCTGATAAATTATCTGGTTCAGTGTCTGTCTATCTACTATGATAGTAATAAGCAGGGAGTAAGCACTTATTCAAAATGATCAGCACTCTGTAAATCTGAAAGGGTAGTTCTCATTTAGTGACCATTCACAGTTACCACAGTGATGAAAAAGTAACTTTACAACTAGTCCCCACATTTACGACTTTTGCAGGTCTGTAAAGTAAATGAAAGCTGCAGTAAAATTGTAAGCACAGTGTTGGTATCACTTAGTGACTGTTTCACTTAACAATTAAGTTACCAGTTCTAAACAAGGTTTCTGAACATGAAGAGCCTATACTGTAAGAAGCTATTTGAAAGTTATATGCACCCAAACCTTGGAAACACTGATTTGATTTGGCTTTAAAAAAAACTGTCCAAATTCCTAAACTATTGAACAAGTATCTAATCAGTTAACATGAGAAATGCTTGAGAGAAACAAAACCAAACTGCCTGGCTGAGTCTTAGGAAATCAGCTTGTTTCAGAATAAATACATGCTTCATTTGAGGAACAAAATTAAAAGTTGAATAGGCTTAATTTACAGCTGGAAGACGATTCAACAAAAGGCTATTTGTAGGTACATTTGTACTGACTCACAGCATGTAATGAGAAAATATTTTCAAGATACTTAATGTGATGTATTGAAAAACTATTGATTTGTTAGTCCAATTGCTTTGACTAGATCATATACAGGAAGTTTTGCAAACTATAACATTAGAATCCTTTCATTGGAAGAAAAAAAGTGAATATGTGGCCATGAGATGTCCGTATCCTATAAATGTTGAAACATAGCTGATAGTTTGTTTATATAAATAACCAATGGAATCTAATATATGCTTTGATTATGCTTGGCTCACCTGCACATCTTATTTTCATATTCTTAACAGCATTAAACTTGCTCTTTCCTTGTTTCTCTCTTTTGCATGCTTTATCGCTTCTTATATTATATCAGGATCAAAAACGTATAGATGGCACAACTCGTGAGGTGAAAAAGGTTAGAAAAGCAAGGAACAGGCGCCAAGAGTGGAATATGATGGCCTATGACAAAGAACTTAGACCAGATAACCGGTTATCTCAGAATGTTTACCCTGGAGCATCTTCTGAAGGGTCTCTGTCCCCTGAAACTAGGTCTGTTGATAATAAGATTTATATATTCAGTGGTGCTTAGTATCCTTCATCTGTGCGGATTCCTAACTTCCACTTGTATAAAAGAGATTTATCTTTCTTTTTTAGATTGGATGATTTTGGGAATTTGGTGTCTGCATTTTCCTGAATTAGATTGACCATGAAGACTTATTTTTAAAAGATTTTTGTTTTTGCAGCAGCCTGTTGCAGCAAAAAGTAACGTAGAAACCTGGGACAGGAAATGGCCCCTTTTTGTGTCAGGCACTGTGTGCTTAAAGCAAAGGTGTTTTAAAAACTCATGAGATATCTGTATTGTTGCCCTTGAGCTTAGCCAGAGGCCTCTATGTTCAAGTACAGTGTTTAAATTACCGTAGATTGGTCAGGCATTTTTTTATTTTTGTTCTGCTACTTGGTTTGAAGAAAGGAACACATACAACAAATAGTGCAGCCCAAGAACCTCACTGTTCCATTAACATCTGTTGTGGCTTGCTTATGTCATATTGTATTCATTTGAAAGCTTGGGCATACAAAAGCAGAGGTTTTTGTAACTAACTACTGCATAATCAAGTTTTAAAACAAATGTGTTTTTTTTTATTTCTAGAATTTTTAACCAATATGTTGTTTTGTCTGCATTAAGAAGAGATTTTTCAGTTTATAATATTTTGTGTGATATTCTAATAACAAGTTCTGATCTCTCCATCTGAAAGAGTCAGCTTTTTCTACCTTTCTTTTATAATCCTACTGATTCTGTTATCTTAGTTAATTCACATCTTTCAAGCCTTTTGGTCTACTGTCTTTTTCTGCCTGTCTTTATTTATTTGTCACTTAGCAAAATAAAAACTTTGCTTTGCTTTGCTTTGCTTTGTTGTAAATAGATTGTAATAAGCAACCGTTCCATTAAAATAAGCACACCTAGGCTCAAAACTGTTTTTTGTATCTTGCATGGAAAACATATGTAACATTGTTCTATGTAACATGTCTAATGCAACTCTTGGCGTATGAAATTCTCATGTTTCCATCCTGTACATAATCCTTTTTGTCCTATTTGATTTATATTGTGCCCATTATGATTCAGAGAATTCACAAGCTGAATTCAAGCCGGCATCAGCAAGTTAATGTGAGAAAAGTAAGGTCCAGAAGAGAAGAGTGGGAGAGAAAGAAAATGGGCATTGAGTTCATAAGTGACATAAAGAAACAAGAGCAGGCAGGAGGCACAAAAGAGTCCCAGATGCCCACAGGGTTTGTCTTTCTTTTTATTGAAAGCTCTAGTGCTTTGTTAACTTCCTGGCTTTCCATCTGAATAAGATGATAAGCATCTGTTTCACTTATTTTTAACCATGTGACAATATGGCGTAATTTGTTTTACTAATTTAGCTTCTCTACAGCATAGGGATGCAAGGACAATGTTGCTTGGTTTTAACTGCTAAGTACTAAAAGGTTTGTTGTTTTCTAAACTTTGTGACTAGCTAACAGTTTCTCTCTCTCTCTCTTTCTCTCTTTCTCTTTCTCTCTCTCTCTCTCTCATATCAGATAAAGTTAATTTTATGCAAAAAAAAAAAATCCCAGGAAAAAGTTCCATATTAAAAAAAAAAGTTAAAATTTTGCAATGGGTTTGAGTTTGATAAAATGCAATAATCTGCCTTTATCTGTAATTTTACTTTCATTTTCTGATTTTTCTTACTAATGTTCCTTGTCTGCCTTGATATGTTTTGGAATATATATCCTATAATTTGAAAATTAGAGAAAAGTTGTTTTTGGTGAATGTGGCTTCTTACATTTAATGTTGCATTAACATTTAATGTTGCATTAATAACTTATCTACTAACAAACTGTGAAATGTTAATTAAATAATCATTTAAATTGAGTGAGCCTACTATATTTTGTTCATGGTTCCCCTTATTCTTGTTTTTAATTTCAGATCCCATGCTTCAGACATAACCAGTTATTCGTATCCTGCTACTCCAAATCATTCACTCCGTCATCAGTTTTGCCATGTGCCTTCATGTGGAACAGGAGATGGATCCCAGTTTATGCTTGCAAAACAGGGCCTTGAACATGAATATAGGTTATCTTCCACAACAGTGCAACATGCTACTTTGAATAGGCCTCAAGAACCACCCCCACCCCCACCGCAAATCTTAGATGGTGCTCTGGGCACTGTTGCATTGATACCAGCAGACTATGGGTGAATAGATAGTTTTGTCCTTATGTTAAACCAGAGCTCCCCAACATTTCCAGTTTTGCTGATTGGTGGAGGGAGGAGAGAGAGGGGATGGTTCCACAAGCAGTGGCCAAGCGAATGTGTGCAGCTCCATTTGCATGAGCGGTGGGCACGCGCGACCACCACTCGCTCAAATGGAGCGCACATACTCACCCACTGCTCGGCAAGTGGGGATGTGTGTGCATGCACTCACCCCCTGCTTTATGTGGCCTGGTTCTGAACAGCTCACGGCCTGATAAAGGGCTGGGGGTTGGGGACCCTTGTGTTAGACAGTGATCAGCAAACATAAATAAACATATGATGCAACTAGATGATTGACTAGAAAATTTTCTCTGTCAGTTTGGAAAAAATAGAACAGGAAGACAATGAATCAGATGGTTAAATGGGATCAAATATATTACTGCAATAGTTTTAGAATTGCTGTGTTTAATACCTGGCTGAGATGGCAAGCCTCTGTCGAATCATAAGTGGCTGTATCTGACTTGATGGAGCCTAACTATTTAAAACATTTTTCTCCTGCTCTTCAAGAGTGCCATAGTAATAGCTTCTGGATCATGAAGAACAAACAAGATAGGGACAAGTTTTGCTCGTGATGAATGTTCAAAGTATCAGTGGTGTGTGGATTGTATGCTGAGCTGCATGTTGTTAACCATACTCAGAGGTTTATGTTCTTAAATAAAATATCTAAGCAAAAAAAGTTACTACTTCCCAGGGATACTTTGAAGCTGTTGAGATAAAATTTAATATGGGGAAAATTATGTTGAGACTGGAAAATAGTGTGTGATTTGTTCTAAATCATTTGTGCTTTAGAAATTGTAGAGAATATTTATAGCTCGGGATGAAGATTTAGGCAGAGATTTGTCTTCCAAGCTTGCTGCTTGGCTCCCGGACGTTTCATTACCAAACTTGGTAACATCTTCAGCAAGGTTTTGGGGGAAATTTAGTTTATATTTTATATTTTATAGTTTAGTAATGAAACATCTGGTAGCCAAGCAATAAGCTCGGAGGACAAACCTCTGCCTAAATCATGTATGCCTTCCTGATTAAATAAGAGCCAACATGGAAAATATTGGTGTTGTAAATAAATGTTCTAGTATATACTGGAAAAAAATGTAAGTGAAGTGAATATTTTTAAAGTTCAAATCAAATAGAACATTAATAGATTCTTACTTTGCAGACCTCCTTGATACTTCAACTAACAAGTATTTTGTTCTGTTTTATATATAGGATGATTGCAGCTCAGATGGTGGATTATTATAATCCTTCAGGAGGACCACCCTCTGCATCAGCGCTTATGATTCCTTCTGCACAGACTGCTTTTGTTAGTCCTCTCCAAATCCCTCTGCTACCTACCCATTCTGGACTAATGGCTGGTACTCTGTATTCTGCTACTCTTCATCTTCCTTCTACCGGGCATATTGTTACAGCTCCTTCTCCTCCTGGCCCACCTCCTCTTCCTCCAGGCCCCCCTGCTGCAGGATCTTCTCTTTCATCCTCTCCATTGCATACTCCTGCAGTAGCTGAGGTTAAAAGGCAGGAGTCTATCCAGTCACCCATCAGTGGTGCTCGAAGTGATCTTCTTGCTGCTATTCGGATGGGTAAGACTTCCAAAATCTGACCTGGGCTTTTAAATATGACGGGCTTTGGGTCTTCATAATTGCATAATGTAACTAGAGATCTCTGTTCCACATTGTGGTCTAGGCTGAAAGCTGTATCTCAGCTTTCTTGTTTTCTGTTGCATTTATAGTTTCCTTTTGATGAACAATCATCAGCCACAGAAGTACAGTGTAGTTCTTCTTGAACTGCTTTTAAATGCTTGCCCAATCTTTCTCAACATGTATCTTCCGGATGTAATTTGTCCATCATGGACCATATCATTTGGACAGCCTGGCTGGTAAACGATGAATGTGGTGGGTCAACATACTATGTAGGAACTTAGGAGGGTCATTTGTCTGAGGCAGAAGGAAAACAGAAAGACTGGCTCTCCAGAAGGAAAAAGATCCCTCTAAGAAAGAACCAAGATAGAGACCTGTGGCTGGAGGGTATAACAAAAGAGTTGCAGCTAGGAAAGAGCTGCAGGGGAGGAAGAAGCAAGTTTTGCTGCCATCTTGCAAAAATGCAGTGATGTTAACTTGCTTCTTAGCAAGGAAAGAGGGAGATATGATGGTTTCTTTTCTCTCCCAGTGAGGAGAAAAAGTGGTCCCTGCAGTATATATAAATAGAGTCCCTGAGATTTAGGAGAGCCCAGGGAGAAAGGGAGGCACAAAATACATGGTGGGTAGAAGTGAAGGAAGTTGTAGGTCAGTTGTTCTCAACCTATGGGTCGCGACCCCATTTGGGGTCGATCGACCATTTCACGGGGGTCGCCAAGCAAGGCTGTCTGCCATTTTTTCCCCTTTTCCGGCGGTTGCCTTACCTCCCTTGAGCTGGGCCAGCTGGTGGTCGGCCTGCTCCGTCTCTGCCGCTTGCCAGCTACGCCTTGGCTGGCGCAGGGGGCAGAACCATGCTGTCCAGCCGTCCTATTCTTGATGCTCCTGACAAGCCAGTAAACAGGTATGGAAGACAAACGTTGCTTTTATTGCCATACGTGTAGGAAAAAGTTAGCACTGAGATCTACTGCTCTCAGTGCCGTACATAAAGGCCACGGCCGCCCGACGCACAGGAAAGCCGCCCCACCCTCATCCAAGCTGCCCCACCCACTCCCAAGCCAGCATCCGCCTAATTCCGCCCAGCCCCCGCTCCCCGCCCACTGCAGCCGCCTATGGCTGTCCTCCAAAGCATTGTCCCTTCAGCCTATGTCCATAGGGTTCGGTAAGCCTTCGTAGCTCCGTTCTGCCTCCCTCGCTCCGTGTTGAGCCCTGCGAGGCACAAGGGGGCGACGGCACGAACGGCGGCTCCGCAGGGAAGAGAGGGATGACGTCACTCTGCTGCGCCAGCCCTGCTGCCTTCCCTGCTTCTGGATACACCGGCGGGGCGGTAAGGCTGAGACGGCGGTTGCGGCGTTCCCGTGGGCTGGTGGGAACGTGAAGGTCTCGCCGGGCTCAACATGCCGCTCCCCCTACCAGAGGCCCCCCTGGAAGGCAAGCATAGAGGGGTTAATGGACTCGTCCCCGTGCATCGGTGCCCCTGGTCGCCCCTTTTGGCTTGTTGGGATATCTACGATGGAACTGTCTAAGTAAACGGGGAGCACACACCTCGCTGTCCCTCACCCAAGAGGCTTCCGAGAGCGGATAGCCTTTCCATAAGATAAGATAAGACACCCTCCCTTTTCTCTCCCGGGAGTCTAAGATTGCCTGCACCTCGTAATGGTCTGGTGACACGGGACCTGGGGTGTTCACAGGGCGTTCATGGGTCACAGGCTTCTGCAAACTACAATGAAACACTGGGTGTACCCTGCCCAAGAACCGCGGGAGCTTGAGGCGAACAGTGACTGGATTGATCACTTGGTCTATCCTGAACGGGCCTATGTACTTTGGGCCCAGTTTCTACATGGGACCTGGAGCCGGATGTACTTAGTGGAAAGGTATACCAGGTCCCCCACCCTAAATGGTATTTGGGCTTTCCTTCTCTTGTCAGCCTGTGTTTTGGCTGTTTGTCTTGCCTTTTCCAAGGCCTTCCTTACTACGCCCCACACCCCGCTAACTCGGGTTAACCACTCCCCAGGTTGACAGGGTGGAGCGTCCTGACTACTGTATTCTGGCATGGGTACGAAGTTCCTGCCCGACACCACCCGGAAAGGCATGAAGCCTGTACTGCTATGCACAGCGTTGTTATATGCCACCTCCGCGAACACCATCCACTCCACCCAGTCTGCCTGTTGATAGGAGATGTAGCTCCGAAGGTAGCGCTCCACCGCTGCGTTTGCCCGTTCTGCTGCTCCATTCGTACTCGGGTGGTACGCCGAGCTGAGGCTTTGGGAGGACCCCAAGAGGCGTATAAAGTCGCGCCAAAAGTGGGCGGTGAACTGCACACCACGGTCAGAGATTATCCGACGTGGAGCCCCATGAAGCCGATAAATATGTGAGAGGAACATACGAGCTAGTCTCTGGGCTGAGGGTAGTCCCTTGCAGGGCACAAAATGAGCCTGCTTGGAGAACAAATCTACTACCGTCCAAATTACCGTATAGCCCCGGCTCTTGGGCAGTTCCACGATAAAGTCCATGGCTATGTGCGGCGCTCCCGCATGTGCGGTGCTCCCGGGCAGGGAAAGTCCTCGACTTACGATCAGTTGGGTAGTCCTCGACTTACGACCGGTTTAGTCCTCGACTTACGACCGGTTTAGTCCTCGACTTACGACCGGTTGGGGTCGCGGCATTAAAAAGGTTGAGAACCACTATTGTAGGTGGATGCACATCCATGGATACTATAAGTAGCCAATTGCCTTGGATAGACCAACTTATGAGCTTGTAATTATGCATTATATCTGAAAGTATCAAAAAGCATATGAACAATAGAGATTTTATGCAAATAGGTATTAGGAACTATTTTAAATCCTAAGTTATTATTGTTAACTTGAATAGATAATTATCCTATCTACATAGACTAATATTCAGATGAATGTTGAGCTGTTTATACCACATATGCTTATAGGAAAAATACTCTCTAAAAATATAGACGTTGAAGATTTTATTATATTAAATAAGTCATTGGCTATAAATAAGCAAGACATCCATAGGAACATTTGGCTTTTTTATCATTTTCATGCTTGGTAAGCATAAATGATTACTAATGATGTTAATTCTGGTACATTTTCATGAATGCTTGAGTCCTGTGTATTTGTAAGGTTTTTTTAAGGGGAAAATGAGCACAAAAAGTTGTGTTTCTTTGCTTGTCTCAGGAATCCAGCTGAAAAAAGTACAAGAGCAACGTGAACAGGAGGCCAAGCGTGAGCCAGTTGGAAATGATGTGGCCACAATTCTTTCTCGACGGATTGCAGTGGAATACAGCGATTCGGATGATGAGTCAGAATGTGATGAAAATGACTGGTCAGACTGAAAATGAAGATCCGGTACCAAAGCATTCAATGTGAACTGACCTAGGAAATCATTTATAGACTACCCTGGCAGTACTGGTATATACCAGTAGTAGAACAAGTAGGCTTACTTGGTGATGTTCAGATTGATATAATTCAGTTACTTTAGATCAGTGTTTCTCAACTTGGAGAATTTAAGATGTCTGGACTTCAATGCCAGAATTCCCCAGACAGTGTGCTAGCTGGGATATTCTGAGAATTGAAGTCCTGACATCTTAAAGTTGCCAAGGTTAAAAAACACTGCTTTAGTGTTTCTGCAGATGAAAAAAATGAACTCTTTATTTTCAGTTTTTGCTGCATCAGTTGCAGCAAAGCAGGGTTTTTTTGTATGTATAATTATTTTACTATTTCAATATTACAAGCAATTACTTTATCATGGCAAAGCAATATTTTTAACAATGAAATGTCATTGATTCTTCCACTTTGACTCATCGTCGTTAACATGCAAAAATTGCTAGCAGCTAGTTATTTCTTCTTTATTTAAAAAAAAAAACCTCAACAACTCTGTAACTGCAAGAATCTCATGAATGAGTTTCTGTTCACCATAATTATATTTCCAAATACTCTGGATCTGGATCTATTCAAATAGCATATATGGAGAAGAAGGTTGACATCAGCATAAAAACTACGGCTGTGTAAAAACCATCTGGAAGAGTGATATAGAATGAATCTGAATGATTTTGCACAATCCTGTGGAATGCCAAATGCCTTCCCTCCTTGCTAATTTGGTTCAGCTTTCATAACCTGTTTTTAAAATTCATCCAGTTTACATTGAGCACATTGACCTTATGCTTCAGTGAATAATATAATTGAATTTATAGATATATTTATGAATAGTTGGGCTCCAAAGATACGATCGATTAACCACCCAGGCTCCTCTTACACCATTATTATGGGTTAATGGCCTCATTTATGATTGGTTTCCTCATACAAATACATCCTTAATTATTGAAATGTGTGTTCCAGATTGAGTAATATAATTTTCTTACTTCTCATGCATTATTTAAAGAGCTGCTTATATTACATATAAGAAGACTCATAATGCCTTTGGCCAGCCTATAAAAATGAACTGGAGTCAGCATTTAAAAAATGGCAGTTTCTATTTACATTTTATGTCTACCTTAATTTACTTTATACTTTGGAATTACTCAGGGTTGAAAACAGAATGGGATGCCTCTATTCAAGGTACTGTTTTTGTATTATTTTTATTTACATTTTTTAATCCCACCTTTATTATTTTCATAAATAAGGAGGTGAACGTTCCTAATACCCCCTACTCTTCCTATTTTCCCCCCCGCAACAACCTCTGAGGTAAATTGGGCTGAGAGAGAGTGACTGGCCCAAAGTCATCCAGCCGGCTTTTGTGACTATGGCAGGACTAGAATTCACAGTTTTCTCGTTGCTTTCAAATATCTGATTCTATGAAACAGTGTTATCGTGTTTTGAGGGAATAAAGTTAACACTGGCCAGAAAATGCCCTTTTCTACTTTTCCTATTGTTTTATTATAGCTGGCAGAACAAAGGAACATCGGCTCCTCAAATCTTGCAAGATAGAACAGGCTGCTAAATCTCCTTTGTAGTGGGTAAACTGCCACCAGTTTTCACTTACTAAATCTCAGGCTAAACATGTAAGAATCCAGAGTTAAGGGACTGAACATTAAAAGTACGATTGGTCTATTTTTTTTAGAGTTTCAGCCAGTTGTTAATTCTCTTGCTTCTATTATTTCTCACTTGCCTAGAGAAAGCAAGACACGGTATATATGGCAAGCATTAAATGCCAGGTCAGTTAATAATAAGGCTCCCTTTATTTACGGTCTCATTGGAGGAGAGCAGGCTGACCGATATTCATCATCAAAACCTGGCTGACTCCGGAAGGGGGAGTTCCCCTCTTAAACATATGTCCAGCTGGACTTAGGGCTTTGCACTAGTCAAGACCCAGGTAGACAAGGTGGAGCAACAATAGTCATGCGAGAATCTCTTTTGGCCTTTAGGAGCCCTGCTCCACAAATTTCCACTTGTAAAACCCTCTTTTGAAACTGGGCTCATGGGATGGGATCATGGGATTGTTGTTACTGTACCAATCTCCCTGCTGCGTAACAACTTCCCTGCCTGTGCTGTTGCAGGCCATCACAATGCATGGTATTGTGCGGGTTCAGCTCCTTTCTCCAAGGTTGATCTCAATCAATATTGCTAGGGAGTGAGAAGTCCAGCTAACATCTGCTCCTTTGTGGAGTTGCTCAGGGCTTGGTACTCTGTTGTACACCAGTTGTGCCCTTTCCTGGATTATGAAGCCCTGCACTCAGCCTTGGACTACTGCAATGTGCTCTACATGGGGCTACCATTGAAGAATATTTGGAAGCTTCAGCTGGCACAAAATGCAGCAGCACAGTTTTAGGGGCTCCTACAGGTGCTCATGTTGCACGAGCTGCACTGGTTGCCAGTTTGCTTCCAGATTTATTTATTTATTTATTTAAGAAATGTACTTGGCATCTGTTCCTGTCTGCCCTCTTACCTTTATCCCCCCTCCCCCCTCCAGATTATTCCTTTACATGGAAGATGTTATGTGATTAATGTTTTCAACATTGTGCGTCTGGTAGATCTCATTAGTGAGATACAGTTCACTTTTCACTTTACCCATTGCTGCAGAAACAACTTGACCAAATACAGATAGTTCTCACTTAACCAATTGCTTGTTTAATGGCTGCTCAAAATTATAGTTGTGCTGAAAAAGGAGAGTTATAACTGGTCCTCAAAATTCTGGCTGTCACAACATCGTTACAATTATGTATTTGCAATCTGGGTTCATGGCAACTTTATAATGGTCACTGCATCCCGCAGTCATGTGATTGCAATTTGTGACCTTTACAGTTGTCTTCTAACAAGCAGTCAGTATGGAAGCTGGCAAGAAGTTGCAAGTTGTAGCCACATGTCATTGCATTTAACAACTATGAATGATTTACTAACAATTTCAGCTGGAATTGCCATCGTACGTTGGGCACAATCATGTTATTTTTATTTTTATCTATTTATTAATTACAGTTATGTGGCTGCCCACCTCACAAGAAGTAACTTGATTTTTCACTTTGTGATTGTAGCTCTTAGTGGCAGAATTGCTCATGTCCTTTTTGATCTGTAAGTGAGCATTACCTATAAATTTGGTATCATAGATAATAAAAAAAAATAGTACCTTAAATACTTCAACTAATTTTCATTAAAACTCTGAACTTATCCATATTGAACAGAATGAGCTAAGAGTACAGTCACTTTTTTTGGAAAAAAAATCTTATAACACTAAGATCTTTAATTTAGATTTAGATTTGAAATATGGGAATAATCAGCTCTTACCCTTGCATGTGGAAATAAACAGAACTGTACAAAAAAGATGTGAGCATAGTTGATCTGGAGGATGGTCTATCGTAGTGAATTCTTTGGTGTCCCAGAATTCCAGACTCCAGAATTTTAAAAAGCAAAGGTGTACATTCCCATCTATGAATATAATTAACATGTTCTCTGCTTCTACATAATATGCTGAATCCTGAAACATAATTTTGGTTTGCTAGGGATTACTGCTGCTTCCCATAATAATTTGGCATTCTGATATTTAGAATAATGATGGATTTATCACCTATGCATTTATTGGATCCTGATGTATCAGATGCATCATATGTATTATGTATCCTGCAACATTAGTAATGGACAGGAGAAAACATGCTCCTCTGGTTGAAAAAAGGTAGGTATGCAAGATGGACATGGGACTGTTTTTCCTTTTTTGATGTCAAGTAATGAAATTGTTAATGAAAATGATTCTGGTACTAAAGTTTCTTCTATTATAGTTTTATTACAGTATATTTTAGAAGCAAATTAGCTGTATTTTGAATTATTTCTAAACTATTGAGTAATTATTTCTAAACTACTAAGTAAGTTATTTGTAGTTAAAAATACTTCGTATTTAGGTGAATCACTTGTTTGCTTTTAACCTGAAAATATTTTTTCATCTCTTTTCAGTATTTGATCAATAAAATGTAAATTAACATGACTGATCTAAGTTTACAATTTAGACATTTTGTCTTTGTATATCTGTCTTGGGTTATATAAAAATATTAATAAAGTTTACATTTAAACTTTTATTTTTAAATTCTAAAGGTACTTAAAATTTCATTTGATTTCAGCTAATAGAATATGGTGTAAGAGCTGTTATGTAGTAATTAATTTCCTGTTAATATTAGTTAATGTTGCTCTTCCTTTTCTTTTCAGATAGAAATCTGAAACTGTAATCTTCATTAAACTATTTTAACCACCTAATTAGGCATTTCAAAATGCATAAATCCAAAGGGTAACATGCAATCATACTAAAACATTCTATTATGTCAGTGGGAGTTAGACACATGCCTCACTCTCCTGGTGAAATAAATGGATCATGCCTATTTAATTAAGTTGAACTTCATTCATACTTAGGCAAAAGTGTACTAAATTGTTAATTGCAATACACAAAATGCAAAAAAAATGACCATAAAACATAATTTAACATATTGTAAGACCTGAATCATTTTTTTTCAAGAAAAATGCATGCTTACTAATTAATATAAGCTAACCATTCTTTGCTGAGTTTTGTGATCAAGTAGAGCAGTGTTTCTCAACCTTGACAATTTTAAGGCATGTGGACTTCAATTCCCAGAATTCCACAGCCAGCAATGCTGGCTGTGGAATTCTGGGAGTTGAAGTCCACATGCCTTAAAATTGTCAAGGTTGAAAAACACTGAAGTAGAGCTTGTTTTGCTTGGTCATATTTTGACTTTGGTTAGAACTATTACAGAGACAGTAGTGGTTAAAGGCATGGAATTTTAATCCAAAGCCTACTGGGTGACAAATAGCCAGTCACTCCCTCCTAGTCCTGGGATGAAGAATGAGGAGGAGCAAAGTACTCCTGAAAATAATGCCAAGAAACTGCAAGGATCTGTCTATA